ATTTATGGGGGATTAATATGAAACTTTTTTTGTTTTTTTGCTAAAGATTTACTTGTCGAGTGAAATTAAACAGAAGTCAGAAATTAGCAAGTATAAAAGCAGCATACAACCAGGTTCTAAGAATGGAGATATTTCTAGTGAATTTGAACTTCTCTGTTTGATTTGGCTACATAGTTACAATGTTACATTAAACGCTGGATGCTCCTAGGCGTCGGACTTAACGCCCAGCACTTAGACGTCTAGGCGGGCGCCTAAGCGGTTTTCTGGACGTTTTTTTCTTTTTTCTATTTTTATTTAATTGTGATACTTGAAGATAAATAAATATGTTACATTTTTTCTTTCCTAAATCCACAGCATTTTTTCTTTCCTAAATCCACAAGAAGGAAAACTCCCCACAAGTCCAATTGTCCAAAATCATATTAATACTTTAGTCTTTAGTTTAGTTTACTGCAATTTCCAAGCTTCTATCGAAAGAAAATCATAATAATTTTACTGTAGAATGAACGACTGGAGATGAGAACGATATTTTTCCAAGCTTCTATCGAAAGAAAATCTAAGGGAACCAAATCTAAAGAAATTTTTTACTTACAGAGGACAAAAATCTGAGAACGAGGACGAGAGAGAGGCTGGAGATGAGAACGACGAGCTCGAAGACGAGATCCCACGGTGAAGACGACCTCTGAAGTTGAGCTCAAAGACGATCTCGGAGAAGACGAGATCCCACGGTGAAGACGACCTCCGAAGTTGAGCTCCGAAGTTGAGAACGAGGACGAGAGAGAAGCTGAAGATGAGAACAACGAGCTCGGAGCTCCCAGCTTGAAGACGAGCTCAGAACTTGAGCTCGAAGTCGATCTCAGAACTTGAGCTCGAAGAAGAGCTCCCAAGTTGAAGAAGACGAGCTCAGAACTTGAGCTCGAAGAAGAGCTCCCAAGATGAAGAAGACGAGCTCAGAACTTGAGCTCGAACTCCCAAGTTCGACGACGAGCTCCCAAGCTCAAAGACGAGAGCTCCCAGCAGGATCGAAGATGAGCTCGAGATCTGGGACTTCTGACGACGTCTGGTGAGTACGATTAGGGTTTAGGAGGCTTTATGTGGGTTTCGGGTTTGGGTGAGTGGGTTTCGGGTGAGGGTTTGAACAGAGCCCTAACGTTTTTTTTTTTAAATTGTGCGGTGGGCCGCTTAAGCGGCCCGCTTAGCCCTGGGCGGCCGCCTAGGCGCTCCCAGCGCCTAAATGTGGCCGCTCAGGGCTCTTTTGCACGGCCTGGGCACCGCCTCCGCCTAGGCGGGCGCCTAAGCGGCCGCCCAGGCCGTTTTTTACAACACTGATAGTTATTCAAGTTTCTTTTTACTTTCAATTTTTGTATGAAGATACAATCAGAAATTTTCTAGGCTTTCTGTTTTTAAACAAGACGTGAGCTTTTTCTTAATGAATTCTTGACCATGACGGATACAAGTGAGCAAATAAATGTAGACATGAGCTCTTTAACTGCTCCAACTAGATATAATATTAGTTGTCTGTGGTTTCTGCTGAATGCCACTTCAAGGTTTTCAAATTGCTTGTTCTACTTCGTAGACAACCTGGAAATGGATACATCATAATCTAGATCAAGCAACTAAGAAAAATATGAAGATATGATCCATGGGTGAGTATATACCTAACTTTAAATGGCAACGCAAAATGATTTGTATGCTATTAAATATAGAAACTAGCACAGGCTGCACAGCTTTACCTCCACATGCCCAGCATGGAACAGATCAAATACACCATCGATGTAAACTATGTAAGAATCTGGACCTGGCTGTTTTCTTTTATCACCAGCAAAATGAGCAAACGAAGCTTCAATCAGTTGGGTCGATTTTAAGACCCAAAAAAAAAAATTAGGAACTTCAGCTCATGCGTAGACAATATTAAACAGGAATCATATGCAAACTTCATCCTGAATGGTTTCTTGTCATGTTTTTGGAAGGGGACCAAACATTTCATGTTTTTGGAAGGGGACCAAACATTCAGTAATTATATGCTACTTGTCATGTTTCTTGTGCATGATGTATACTACCAGTAGTTATGTGCTACTTAAACATTATAAACATTTTTAAAAGTAAGTTAGATGATAAGGAGAGAAAGGTGTTCTAAATCATGTTAAAAGATTTATAGCATAATCGTGGTGGGTAATATCAAGATGTGTTTTGAAATTGATGTATATTATATTGTAATGTCACTAAAATACATTTTGAGCCTAATGCATATATATTATCAATGTCATTAGAACATGTTGAACAATTATTCATCATTGTTTCATGATGGTGGTGGTATATTAGAAGTTTTTTAAATTTTTTTGAATTATAGACATTGAAAAAAGCTCCCGAATGGTGGTTGGTCATCGCCGCCCGTCCGCCGGCCGGCCGAGTGGTCGGCTCGCGGGCCATGGTTGCTGTGACGACTGACGGCCGACAGGTGGCTAGTGGTGGGGAGCGGCAACGGGTGAGAGTAAGGTTAAGCGGTTGGGTGTGACTAGTGGTTGTTGATTGGTATCATATGCTATATAAATGGTTAAACTAGTTTTACCAATAACTTTCAAAATGGTGTTTTCAAAACACTTTTGAAAAAAAAACACCATGACATGGTGTTTTTCTACAAAAACACAACAAGAAAATCACCTTGATTACCAAACACACTTGTTCATCACCCACAACATGCAGTTTCAATTGGTTCATCATTCATAATCCACAAATTAAAGGAACTTAAAAATGTCTTACGAATTTTGTGCTCACCCAATTTATGAGCTAAGAAGACTAGTGATAAGTAATGAAGAATTGTTAGCGTTCTTTTTTATAAATTTGGTTACAGCATATTGTTTATACATGGTTCTTGTGAGGCTTGTAAGATAATTGATTTTTGCTTCTCTTCTTTGTATTATAGACTAGCTTACTGGCTAACACATTAGAAATTCTATGTTGAAGAATGTCCATATTTATTATACTTATTACATAATCAACCATTGGTATGCATTGTTATTGATACTTGATAGTATTGCATATGAATCCCTAATATGTAAGGAAAAAGATGCATAATTTCATTTCCAAGCCTGAGATATGTTTAAAAGTTGCAGAAACACTTGAGATGCAAACTCTTGTTTTTGAAGTGTTTTCATAATAGGATTGTATCTTGTATCTTCACTGATGATCAGAGTTGAAAATCTTAAAGTAGGACATTCTATTCTTTGCCATGCTCTCTCTACAGAACGTTACTGACCCTCCCTCTCCTCCTCCCTTCCTCCCCGGCATGTGTTTGGCACTGGTGGTTTCCAAGCCTGAGATATGTTTAAAAGTTGCAGTCTTGCAGAAACACTTGAGATGCAAACTCTTGTTTTTGAAGTGTTTTCATAATAGGATTGTATCTTCACTGATGATCTGAGTTGAAAATCTTAAAGTAGGACATTCTATTCTTTGCCATGCTCTCCCTACAGAATGTTACTGACCCTCCCTCTCCTCCTCCCTTCCTCCCCGGCATGTGTTTGGCACTGGTGGTTTTTTTCCTTCTCTACTTTATCATCTTCCCTTGTTTGCTTTTCTTTTATTGACTCTGATTATGCTGGCTGTGTTTGACCTGGAATTCTGATTAATCTCAGAGGAGGTACAAGAGCTTGATAATCGTTAAAACTAATGTTTGGTCTAATCATGGAGGATTGATTTGTAGACATGGAAGTGATAATCGTTAAAATTAATGTTTGGTCTAATCATGGAGCATTAATCTCCCTGTGTCGAAAACTAGGGCTTTGTGCCTCTCTTCTCTCCAAGATGTGCCACATGTTGGTTGTAACAACTAGGGCTTTGAGGTAGAGCTTCAGCCTCTCTTCTCTCAAGACTGTTGCACATGTGCCTCTGTTCCTTTTCCCTCTCTCTTCATCTCCCCCACTCCCTCCCTTCACAACACCCCTTCAGTCCACCCCCCCCCCCCATCTCTCTCACTCTCTGTCCTCCATCTCAATCTCTCTCCATCTCAGTCTCATTTTTATTAATTTTTTGACTTTTGATTAAAGTTAGATATTAGTTAGATATTTGAATTGAAAAATTGGAATATGCTAGATATTTGAGTTGAAATGTTGATTTGTTTTATGCTATTAAATTGGTATGTTATTTACATTTTTGTATGTTTAGACTATAAAATTTATTAAGTATGCTTAGATTGCATTAGGACATTATATTATACATATACACATCATCCGATATTTACTACATATCCCCTAACATTATCCCCAATTTCCGCTGTCCGTCATGCATTTTAGCCATCCAAGAAGAACCCGGCATCCGGCATTTAAAACCTTGTTAATAACATATACTGTAAAACGGTATTCTCTAAAAGTTGACACTTAACAAATCAAATAATATGAGATTTCAAGTTATGTATATCAACAGTTACAAGAGAAATCATAATTCTTTCTTAAGTCCTCTTGATGGAAATTGTGGAAAAAATTATATAAATGTGTCAACAAGTATAATCGAATTGCTCTAGATTTTTAACTTCTTAGTCACTTATTATGAATCTCCGATACGTACCAAATATAATTTTTTGGATACATCATAGGTATATTTGATGCTGACACTAAAATTTTGGAATAAAGGTTCTGCTGTTGTTGTTACAATAGGTATATCTGATAAATATCCATCAAGTATCTACTTTTCGCGTACATAATAGATAGAGGTATACCATCTACGTTGAACCATCTGTGCAACACTGCTTCTAAAAGAGGTGAACGCAATCTGTTTGATGGAGGAAAAAAAGGACTTGCGGAGATGATCCATAAATGCAATCCTAAATGTGTTTCAACCACTGCCTTGTTTCCTTGTCTCATTATATACAGCATGGTTCATTGTGTTTTTTATATACATTTCCTGATTTCTGATATGGCAGTATGTATTGCTGAATTCTCGATGATGTATTTGCATGTTACCACATTCCAATCATCTGGTTTCTTTTTAACTGCTGACCCTTTTTGCAGATATTGAGGTGCATGCAGACCATTTCTAAATTTCCATAGGCCTTTTTTCTTGGGGTTTATCATGTTTTATGCATGGCGTCAACAATTCTCTTGCACCTGCAGAATTTTTGGCCGTTTTCCATTCTCAAGTCTGATGATTTGAAACTCTCAAATCAACTGGTTGGTAAGCTTTCAATCCCAGAGCAGACTAAGCAGTTTGTTTTCGCTGTTCGTGAGCCTGATTCAAATGTAGTAGTTTATATTTTGGCTGCACAAAACCTCTCCGAGCAGTCTGCTATTGATGCTGGATACCTGATCAAAGAAATTCAGCCTAAAGCAGTTGTGGTTCAGGTTGCCTCATCAGCCTTGGATGAAATACAACTTGAGGAGAAGAATTTGAAAGATGATCAAGTAAACAATATACCGACCTCATCATTTGGCGTTCTCAGAAGATGTCTAACCGATAAGATCAACAAAGATCAGTATGATAAATTTGCGGGATGCCAAGTTTTGCAAGAAATTTTTGGGATTGGATTGTATGGTCATTTCTTTGCTGCTAAACGAGCATCAGAGGAGGTTGGGTCCCGATTCTTGCTACTTGAATCACCTTATGAGAGTGCTAACACTGCAGAATCTCCAGGCACCATTGGAACTGGTGATATAAGCTCAGCGTTAAATTTACAGCCAGCACGCTTTCTCCCTAGAAGTGTGAAACCTTCTGTTTCAAGCTCTCACAGGTTTTTCCTCACTGATGCGCTTCAGTCCCAAATGGTAAAGGTATTGACTCCCTCTCTCAAGTTATCGCTTCAAGATGTAGAAGCCAAGAAATCTGAAAGCGAATCAATACACAGCACATATGAGGCTCCTCAGCCATTTGCACAATCTGTTTATCCTTTACTGGCTGATCTCCATGACATATTTAATGAGCTTCCAGCAATCAGGAAAGCCTTTGTTTCTGCTCAAGAAATGCTTGCCAGTATCAACCTAGGAAAACCAGTGGGTGCTCAACTTCTATCTGAAGTTCACAACTTTCGGATTGCAATCGAAGGTCTAAGAATAGCTTTGAATAATGCAGCTCACTGTCCCATAAACAAAGTGGAGAGTGGGAAGTCAGAAAGCAAGGTGGAGTTTTCCGAACTCTCTCCTGATGAGAAATGCCATGTTCTCTTTGCACAAGCCCTTAGGAGCCAAGCAAGCAAATTTGGAGGACCAATTGTGGCAATAGTTGATGCTGCTAGATTAGCTGATCTCAGGAAGCACTGGACAACTGCAGTGCCTTCAGAGATCGCAGATTTAGCTGGTAAATGTTTGACTCGTAATTACTCCAATGAAAATGTTGATGACTATGACGATGACGATGACGATGATATTGTGAAGGAACAACACACTGGAAAAAAGAGGCTATTATCAGACAAACCCATGGTTGCAGTCGGTGCAGGAGCAACTGCAGTTATTGGAGCTACTTCTTTATCAAAAGCTGTTCCAGCTTCTACTGTCGTCAAGATCACAACCTATAAAGTTCCAGCTATCTTAAAGTTCAGTTTAGCAAGCCTAAAAAGGCAAACTTATATGGGTCTAAGTAAAATTCTCGGTCCATCAAAACTTTTAGCTCCTGGAGTAGCGAGCGGAGGAACCAAAACCTCTGCTACCTTGAAGTTCACAGCATCAGGTGAGAAGATTCGCGCGGTCGCTCACAGTATGATAGCCTCAGCCGAGAGGACTAGCTTGCTAGCAATCAGGACATCATTCTATGAAATAATGAGACGTCGCCATATCGGAACATTTAGGGTTAAACCTTGGGCTACTTTTGGATGCAGTGTGGCTACTTGCTCAGGGCTTCTTATGTATGGAGATAGGATTGAATGTGTTGCTGAGTCTGTTCCTTGGGTTCCTACAATTGCTAGTATGGGCCGAGGACTCCAGAGCTTGCAGCAAGCTTCTCAGGAAGTGAAGGAGACGAGTAGCGTAAAAATAAAAGAGGCTTTACAGTCACTGATGTATAATTTGAAGAAAAAATAAAATTCAAATTTAGTAGTATAGTTACTCTGGTGAGTTTTCTAGTTAGGAGGATATACACTTCCAGATTTTGAAGGTTGAGCTCATATTGTGGGGCACATACATGACTTTATTTTGTTTGCTGACTTTCTGTATTCTTGATTGAGGTTTGGCTTAGGGGTAAATAAAGGGGGGTGTATATTGATGTGGTTGAATATGAGGTGTGAATAATACCTAAATAGGGAGTATTGCATGTTCATGTAAATTATGTTGATGCATTTGCTTGTATATATGAGTAAACAATACGACTTTGAACTGCGTCAACTATCAATAAGTAATTGATATGCCTCAATTTTTGGCTCTCTGGTGGTGTTGATCCCTTCATGTTCTTTAAGAAGGAATTTCTTCCTCTTTCTTTTTCAGTTTTAATTTGTCATCATAGACAGAAAGACAATTCTCTTCCTGCTTCCTGAACTTGTAGTTGATGCCAATGATTCGATGCTACCGATGCAATTTGCCCAATGTCTATAAATAAATATAGATCTGTGATGACTGGCTATAGAATTTTAAATGCTAATTGGCAATGCTAGTACCTTGTCCGTAAACAAGTGTTGAGCTTTTACAAATGTCGATTGTCCTACTCTCACCAGAGTTTCTTGACAAAGACATCACCACGTATGTATTCAATTTTCTAGTCTTTCATTAAACGTTTTTCGGCGGTAAGTACTGTTTGCAAATGTGTGAGAATCTAGCTAGTGCTAAGATGCTAGCTGGTTCTCGGATGCTTCTTTTTGGCTTCTCAACGATTGCTTGGCAATCACTTGATGTTGATTCTCTTGTTCTTGGATGAATATGTTCACTCGAGGATGAAGAAATGCTTTGATGATTTTTTTTTACTGGGCGCTGCAACTCTCCTGATCTTGCACGCCCTGATCAAGTTACAATTTTCTGGGTCCTTTACTGGATCATTAAAACTTTTATGATATTACTCAATAACAAACCAATTGACTGAGAAAGATTCTGGCCAACCCCTTCAAGACAGTGCAGAACCTATTTCTAGCTTGCACATACTTCACAGGATACCGCAAATTCAAAAAAAAAAAAAAAAAAAAAAACTTCAAAACTGACAACTGCACGTGTAAGTATGCATCAAGGAGAAACTTCACTATAAAGAAAAAGAAAGTAAGAATAATTTTAAGATCTTATTTTAGTTGGGGAAAAACCCTACATCCCCTTGATCCTTGATGAGATGGTTGATGCTTAAGTCTACATTGTTATCATGAGAATTATAATGAAACATAGTTCATCAATTATCCTATCGTCAGTCAGATGCCCAGCTTTGAAACCCAGTAGTTGATTTGCTCACGTACACATTCTGAACCTGTTGACCCATAGGACCGGAACTTCCTAACACAATTTTCAACTCCAAGGAAATCATAAACATCATCCTCAAATGCCGAATTTATGTCTTGTAGATCATTAAGAGTAAGGTCTGAAAGCTGGCAATTCCTTGAGACGCACAAAGCAACAGATCTCCCAACTATATCATGAGAAGTTCGAAATGGAACTCCCTGTATCGAACAAATGACAGAAATGTAATATGTGGAAACATAAGCCACTATCATAGAAAAATTACAAAATAAAGCACATTTTACAGAAAGAACTAATGACTAATGAGTCAACACATCTTACACTAGCTTGCTAAACTGATGCTCATGCTCGCAGTGAAAAGATATAAATAAGTTAGGTCTTATATTTGCATACGCATCAGACTCAGCTTGAATCTAAGTCATCTTAACCAACCAAAGACTCTTGTTTGACAGGTAGATTATTGGATTAAAATTTTCAAAAACCAGCAGGCTGGGACTATAAGTAGTAAGTACCCCACTCTATCTTGAATTTGGCTAGGTTCAGGTTAAAGATTAGACCCAAAATAATCATTTGATTGGAAAAATCAGATTTCAAGTCAAAAGCGATTTTTTTTAAAGGCTTTTGTGATCTGTTTGTTCTTCCCTAAAGATTGAACTGAAAGTATATGACATGGAATCAGGTTCATTTAGGGTCCAAATCAATAAAACACATCTTGTCCATGAAGTAGACTGCAAGTATGGTACAATGCTATTCTGGGAAATGGTAACATGAGCTAGGCTTACCTTGTTCACAAGATAATCTGCAAGGGTAGTAGCATCAAGATGTCCAGCTGGTAAAGCCTTTTGTATTCTTGCATGGTTGAAGGTGATGTTATATGCAAATTCTGCTGTTACTTCAAGCATCCCGGTGATAGTTCTAACGCTATCAAATAGAGGTTCCTTATCTTCCTGTTTGGGAGGAAAAAAAGAACACATTTGATAACTGAAAAACAGCAAATGGAAGTCGTAAGAACATTCATTTTTTTAATTAAAATGTATCAGACAGACTAATAAGTTAATATCTATATGGAAACGTTGGCAATACTTGGAGGTCGCGGTTGTAGGCTTGTGGGAGCCCTTTGCACAGGACCAACAGGGTTGTAAGGCTTCCAATAACCCTAGCTGACTTTCCACGAACAAGTTCCATTGGATCTGGGTTTTTCTTCTGAGGCATGATACTACTTCCCGTGGAAACAGAGTCACTTGGGGTCAAGAATCCAAACTCTTCGGATGCCCACAGAACCCATTCTTCACCTAGCCTTGAAAGATGAATGGCAATGATCGAATTGGCAGCCAATAACTCCAAGACAAAGTCACGGTCAGATACTGCATCAATGCTGTAAAACGCAACAAATTATTCAGGAAAAGTTGCAGTTCAATTAAATATTATTTGTTATTTTAGACAGGTTCTTTTTTCATCCATAAGCTAAAAACAACTATTATTCTTCTGGAATACACAATCTTAATCTGCGAAAACTCTTCAAGAGAAAGTCTATTGGAAAGACACTTAAATACTGTCAAATTTACAAAATTAAGCAAGACATATGACTAGCAGCTTTTAGTATGCAATCTCAAAATTCAGGAAAATCTTAATCAATACCAATGTTTAAAAAAGCCGAAGCGCAAGGCGAAGCGTTTGACCCGTTTGATCCTTTGATGAAGCGAGGCGTAAGCTTCAAAGCGTGAGGCATTGGCTTCATGAGTTTTAAGTATTTTAATTTTGAATTTGTGAAAATTATTGAACATATAATATATATATTGGTATAATAATTTTCAAATATATATACATTCATGTCCTTAGTAAATAAGAATTAAACATGTGACATATGGAAATGAATCATAATAAATTAAGCTACATGCGGGTATTTAATGTTTTTATATAAACTATTTACACTCATATGGTCATATGAAAATACATACAGGTATTTAATGTTTTTATAGTCTCCTATCTTGTCTAAAGCATGCACTTCAAAAGAAAAAAGCTTTATGAAGCGATGCGCACACTTCAATTATGCTTTAAGCGACGAGGCATAAGCTTCAAGGGATAAATAGCTTCACCCTTAAGTTTCGAAGAGTTTACCCTTCAAAAAGTTGCGAAGCGGGTTTCAAAAAAGCTTTTTCAAACATTGCTCAATACCTTATTCGTTTAGCCAGAGAATAAATTAACTTTAACAGCTCATAGAAATGCATACGCTTTCATTGTAACTGATTTGGTTTACGCAATATTGACTCAAACTAATTACGGGTAGTGATGGAACCTTAGCATGACAATGTATCCTCTAGATTTAAATATAAAAACTGCATGTGCTTTTTCCCCTCCTTTGTCTTTGCTGATTCAGTGTGGAAGACTCTTCCTCAGGTCCTCATGAATGTGAGACAGAAATCAACAAGGATCAGAGATACAAATGTGTTAGGTGTATATAACTATAAACTGGCAGTCTTTTCCAACCATTGATATTAACTCAAGATAATCTTATATGCTGAATCTCTTTGGACTACACAAGAAGAAACTACAATAACGATTCTAAGCATATATGAACTGTGAATATATGTACACTAGAGAGCTAAAAACACGAAAGTAAAGACTTACCTATTTCTCATAGGTGCAGTAAACGCTAATGCATCAGAAGTCATGAATCGGTTGATAGGAAGGCCAGTACCAGCCAAAGCACAAGCACCCAAGGGGCAGAAATTCATTCGATCTTTGCAGTCAACTAAGCGACCAGCATCACGTTCAAGCTACAAGATATCACTATGAATAAGCCAAATGTTTCGGAGACTAAATTCAACAAGAATGATGGCATTCATCTAGCTAAAGATGCCAAGCAATCAACCAAACTTGGTTCAAGATGTTCAATTCAGCTTCCACTTAAAAAAGAAACTAAGAAGTGAATTTAGAAAGCTAAATTTAAGGGGGAGAATGATGCATCATTGTGTTAATTTAAGGGGGGAAAGGCTACACGAAAAGACAGCATATGTAAACTCAATATTTTCAACGCCAATAAATCAAAGCCTGGCGAAAATTAATTTAAAATTGTATAAGACAGAATCTCAGTCCTCTTCAATAAAAAACAAAACGACTTCAAGGTTCACTGTTCACATATGACAAAATGTGCAATGCAACTGAATAGGCAGTTAAAGTATTTCAGAGTCCTTTGTCATATGAGGATCCTGAAGTCCTTTTGTTTTGAGAGAAGATGACTAAGATTTTTTTTATTCATTTTTTAATTAGTTCCCACCAAGCTTTGATTCCTTAGTGTTAATATCGAGCGGTGCAATGCAACATCGTGAAATTGTCATATCCATACGAAAACTTATTACATAAGAAGGTGACAAAGGTCTCCAGGATTCTCGTATGACAAAGGTGCAATGCAACATTCCTAAGTATCCATACGAAACTTCATTAAATAAGGTGGCAAATTAGAAATGTTTTTAGATATATAAGAGGGATAAAATGCATGAGAAGGCCTCTTACCTGCTCAACATATGATAGCAGTAGATGTTGCAACAAAACTGGTTGTGCCCGCTGAAGATGAGTATATCCAGGAACTATTAACCCTTCATTTTTTTGAGCTAAATTAACAAGTGCCACCTGAAATTTTGAAATTTGACTTAGCTTTCACAAATTTAGCTTTCACAAATTATTACCTGGCAGATAATTATTATGCAAAAGAAAATGTAAAATAAAAAAGAAGCAGATTGATTTTTCAAATTGAGTTATGGGCAAGGTTACAAAATGCCTAATGACTTGTGTTGCACATATCTAGGAGAAATGACAAGCTCCGGAATTTGACTCTCTAGCCTTTTGGGCTTGTTTCATGATTAAGACTGAGCAATAAATGTGATAATATGGAGGAAAGCTCATGACTTTACCTATTTCTCTCCATTGCTTCCAGGATAGGAGAAGAGGTGACTCTTTACGCGCATGCACCGATACTGCATGGCCAGGAACTGTAGATTTACCTACCCATGAGCAAGCAGTAAGGGTTTTATTTCAGCGTCTTCACTTGCTCATAGTTGATTTGGGCAGGAGCCTGGGAACAGTTATAAATGGTTGGTAACAGACTAACAAGTAGCTATAAAACTATGATCAGTTTTTTTCTTCTTCTTTTTCCTTTGGACCTATAACAACTATAATCATGCTCTACAACCAACCATGTTTTGCCAGGTAAAAAATTACAGCTGTATTTCTATTGCTAGCATGCATGTTTCCCGTAACAATCTAAATTCTAACATCAAAGCTTCCTCTTTTTTTCTCGGTGTCTTTGCCACTGTGGTCTGATCAAAAATTGTAGGCGAACCAACCATTCAGTTCGGCTGCCATGTCCACAATGCAGGCAGCATTCTGCATCTGGTTTTGTGCAGATAACTCTTCTATAATAAATATATTGCATTGTCTCATTCCCAACCTAATTTGTTGGTGAATTTGGAAGATGATGTGCGGCTTTTTAGTCTTATTTAATCTTAATAGATGTCAAAAACATAATTCTTCAAAAACAATAATCTCTATTCGAAATTCAGAAAATGGCATGTACATATTAAATAAGTTATAGGAAAAGAAAAACAAGAATCAGCAAGTAAAAATTGTAGGCGAACCAACCATTCAGTTCGGCTGCCATGTCCACAATGCAGGCAGCATTCTGCATCTGGTTTTGTGCAGATAACTCTTCTATAATAAATATATTGCATTGTCTCATTCCCAACCTAATTTGTTGGTGAATTTGGAAGATGATGTGCGGCTTTTTAGTCTTATTTAATCTTAATAGATGTCAAAAACATAATTCTTCAAAAACAATAATCTCTATTCGAAATTCAGAAAATGGCATGTACATATTAAATAAGTTATAGGAAAAGAAAAACAAGAATCAGCAAGTAAATGAAATGGGAATATTACTGAAGATTAGCTTCACCCATTAATCAATTACTGTAGTATGATAAGGCAAACCTAAGTAGTAAAAACATAGGCGAATTGGTAATTAAAAAGTAACAGAGAGAAAGAAAAGATAAGAATAGAAAGAAAATGGATTATCATGCAGCTAATTTTGGGAATAAGTTGATGTGCACGAGCTTCACTAGCAATCTACGATAAGCTCAGCGCATCAAAAGAAAGGATTCATTAGGCATGCAACAAGCAAACACACCTGGAGTTGTCTGATGAGTTTAACAGTTTTATCAATTGAATCCCGGCACCATAGACGAAGATCCGTTACAACTTGATCATTTCGACTTCTAGCAGTGTGGAGCTTTTTCGCCGGTTCACCAATCAAGTCTGTCAGTGCTGCTTCTATATTCATATGCACATCCTCTCTATCTGTTCTCCACACAAACTCCCCAGCTTCAATTCTTTTCTTTATTTCATCTAGACCAGATAGTATGATATCTTTTTCACTTTCTGACATCAAACCCTGCATATTCGATTAGTTAGTAACGATGTTATCTTTCTTGTGTAGCAGGTAAAAGGGAAATGCAGGTGAGGGAAGGTGCTATGATTAATATGAAAAATAGAAGATATATCTAAAAGGTGGCTTCACTGTTAGATAATAGATTACATTCAACTATGTCAAAGACCAAAAAATGAAGAGTGATGGCATCCATACAGATACTGATTACAGTACCTACAGCTCCTCAACAGATATGAAAATTGTAAAAATCAATATCTCACTCTACCTAATAAAAAGCTTCCATCCACAAGCATTTTACCTGACGTAGGCTACATTTTTATGAATGATGGACAGTTTAGATGGACTATTATTATAAATTTGGTGCCTAAGTGTCCTAGTAATCCCATGCTCCTTATGCAACTATTGAAGCGATAATATGGCTATATGAGACACAGATAAAAGAAAGTTGGTTTCGGTGAAATGCACGTTTGCAACTGTGTAACCCAACCACTAACAAACATGTGGATTGAAGCCATTTCCACACTAAAGCAACTGAAACCTTGTACATGAAATAGATCTCCAAAGGTAATCCAATATATGGCAGTGAATCATATAATTATTGAATGAACCACTTGCGAACAGAGACTACTGGTAGGAAAACACGCGCAAGTGATCTCTTTTTTACAAGTTTGAGCTCCACAAATCAGCAACTTACTTCAAGATAAGAGATTACGGATTGTCCGATCTCCTAAAAGCAGCCTATACATATTAAAAAATTTATTTTCTAAGTTTATTGATGAAGACATCTAACTAGTAAAACAACTACAGTAATAATTTCAATTTTCATCCGTTAGCCAAAATGGCACAATCGCAATTAACAGTTCTCGGAGCTAAAATGTTCGACTTTCGTCCCATACAACCATCAAAATCCAATCTTTTAACAGATTCAAGCTTTATTAAACTGAGGAATTTCGCCGAACACCGAGAGCTCGAGAACAAGCAAAGCCGAAGTACCTGATGGGCGAGCATCGAGGCGTGGGCTTTGCTCCCCATGATGTCATGCTTGTAGAGGGCCTTGTCGTAGGAGACAGACTCGCTGAATCTCTCGACGGCGTCGGTCACGCTGTCCTCGAATCGCCCTCCCCAGAGCTTGGCCTCCTTCGCCTTGGCCTCGGACGCCGCCGCCATGGCTCTGACGGTGAAGGAGAAAGTTCGAGGTTGAGGTTTGTGGATCTTTGGGTGGCCGGATGAGAAGAGCACCGGATCGAGGACCGGCTTCTGGATTTGGAAGACGGAATTCATCAGCATTCCTATTTTACTGGATTTTTTGCTGGGAGAGAAAGGAGGCGAGGGTTTAGGGAAGGCAGAAGAGGGTTTTTTATGTTGGAAGAAGCCGCTAAGTTGGGCACCTGGCCTTTCTATTTTAGTTTACTGCTTGGTCCCTTCGAAGGGACCAGTTATGTAACATTTTTTGGAGTAATGCTTCTTGTAATTGCTAATGAGTGCTGCTACGGGGACTCAAAATATGGAACCAATGGAGGGGACATGTGGTGTGTCCCCTCCCTATTGCATAATAAGTTGGCTATTGCATAATGAGTTGGCATGGCCAACTTATTATGCAATAGGGAGGGGACACATCACCTGTCCCCTCCCTTGGTCCCATATTTTGGGTCCTTAAATCATTTTCCATTGCTAATTCACCTACGAAAGTCTACTTGTAAGTAATAACTTAAGGTCATAGGTCTCTGGTTCGACTTTTCTGAGAGCACCTACAGGAACGGAGAGCACCCCCAGAATTGATCCTAAAGTTCGTAGGAAAGTTTTCTCGCCAAACTAAAAAAAAATATTATGATATCTCTTTAGCATTTAAGCTAATTTAATTATTCTACAAATATGAAATTGATTTTAGGAAAAATTTTCAAAAAAGACCCCTTTAAAAATTTATTTTTAAAAAACAACTCATTTCACACATATTTGCCATTTTCGACCCAGTTTCAGCCACATTTCAGCCAGATGGCTAAAACTGGGTAGAAAATGGTGAAAAAACATCGAAAACTTTACGGAATTTTAAATCACGTGAAGTTTAAGACCTAATTAGAGCATGGATTAGATGGGTAAGTGGGAAGCCACATCTTCACGGTTGTGTATGAAGTATATACTGAATTACAATAATATTCATAAAATTTAACCATTGAATCAAAACAATACACACGAAAATCACATATATAAACAAAAATTGATCCTCACAAGCAACAAATTTGAACAATCTAACCATATACATTCTTTAAATTCATAATCATACTGTAAATTTCACGTACATTCTAAAATTCATCCCCTCCCTCCTCTCTGA